TGTAGGTAACTAGTGAGCGAGTCAAAATGACTTAATTCCCTTTATAGTCTACCAATAGAAGGTTGACCAATCAGAAGCCGCAGAACACTCTATCCGTCGTGAATAAAGGCGGCCATCTTTGTTTTCCTACCGGAATGACCAGAGCCAACTTGTCAGGCGAACATGACAGACGGAAGAACTACGCTCTGCTACTTTGCTGTGATATCCACTGCGAACCTTCACTACGCTTTCCTACTGTCTCCGAAATATTCACTGCCAACCTCTGGATTCTATACTCGAGGACGACCGTCAAAATCTCTAACAGTGAGAAATGACAGCTCTCCACAACTTTCTCTTTCTTGTATCTCTGACTAACGTTTGTCTTATCAACATTAATTCCTAGTCCCAATCCATTTACAGAAACATGTTAGGGAGGTTATTCGTTTTTTTCCCCAGGGAACTTTGACGTGGTGCAATGGTTAACAAACATGTCTTGTTAGAACAATACAATTACAAATGAATAGTATGTACTCATTTAGTGCTCTATGCTCTATGCTTTCAGCCTTGTGCCACATCAAAGCTACGCTTAGTAAATCGCTATTCGCTTTTGCCTTTGTCCCTGTTGCTGTCAATATGTCCTGTGAGTGTCAAATTCTATTGACCTTCTTTTCTCATTATGTATCATAGGAATTTAAACTCACATGTTTTGGTTCTAATTATAAGCATACTTTTTGCTTCAATTTTCCTTAAATCTTCCTCGTTAACACATGTTCAATCCATAGACTTCACAGCATTCTTTTGTAGAACGATTGTTTCTGTTGCTTCAAGCCTCTTCGTGATCATTTGAGGAGATTTTTCAGTATTCATTGCCCTATAGAAGGACGGATATTATATAACCATGTAACGCCCTTTCCTTTGTAATGATATTTTTCTGTTTCTTAATAGTTTTTTTCGCATTTGGAAGGTATGTTTCGCTATTTTAATATGCCTTCCGAGTTCAGTGCCACATAGGACAGAGAATATGAGATTCTTTCACAATTTTGTTCCGTAACGTTTCTTAAGCTGTCGAAAAAGATGTGGGTTTATCTATACCCCTTCCTCTACGATGGATTGATTGGCATTTTAGGGCTTATCATGTCATCGCAGGTCAACAAAAAACAGAAACTATTTTTAATTCTAAGAATATTTTGCAGCTAATAACGACTTACTGATTCATGTCCTATTAATTAACACCTAGCTGAAAAGAAGAAATGGAGTTATACCTTTCCCGAAGGTATATGCGCATGTAACGAACCTGACCGGAATTAGAACACGGCTCTCCGGTTTCCAATTCTGAGACATTATCCATTAATCCACCCACACATTCACGATTACTGCAGCCGGTCACTCATCTAAGTACTGATTAGTTTCGATGTTGCTTAATTCGAGTAGCGTACGAGACCCGTTGATACAACGTGATATGGCCGTAAGCCTCAATAAGGACGGGAGATATTACATTAAGACATGAAATAATCTATAATAGTAAGATCTGCACTGGCCAGAATGTTTAAAATTAAAGCTGTGCGACCAGATATGGTTGTAACAAAGACTCTGTTAAACGTAAACTATTTCCGAATCGACATTATTGACCGTTTCTCTTTGACTTGTAATCGTCACTCGAGTACTCCGTAACTACTATGAAATAATTACTTTAATCGCAAACGGTGGTGACTCTCTATTCAGCCAATGGCTTACCGTCTAGCACCTTTTTATAATTATGTTTTCAAGAACGATCAGTCAATAAATATGATGCCTCGTCTATGTGCCGTGTCCCTTCAAGACGTGGACGATCATGGCTCTCCACTTTTTTCTATCCTTTGTAGATCTTAATAAATATTTTTTTTGCTATCTCGCTTAAAACCTGATCTGTCATGTATTCACTCAAGTTTACTAGGTAGGCCATGTTCTCCTTTGTCCTGCTGTTCTTTCAATCTGTCTCGTGAGTATCCAATTTTCTAAACCCTCTTTCCTTATTATGTACCCTAGATATATTTCTCCAAAACTTCGTCGTTGTTCACATTGTCCGTTCATAGTATTTTCAGCATCCGTCTGTAGAACCAAATTTCTGTTGCTTCAAGTCTCTTCTTCATCTGCGAGGATATTGTCCAGAATTCACTGCCATCGAGGAGGACTGAAGTGATAAACGAGATATATGAATGTGACGACATGCCAGACGCCACCAGTAAAACTGTTTTAAAAGAAAAACAGCTGAGTTCCATCGAATACACAGCTTGATAAATCTCAGAGATAAGCATAGAATACTAAGGAACAATGTTCAGGTAAAGGAAATGCTGTCTTCTGCATCGGAATACAACCAGAGGGACCAATACAAATACATAATGACTTATATCTTTGCTTCATAGATTTTTTTTAAATACATATTCGATAAAATACAATACACAAATACATTTGAACTAGGGAGGCTTAACGGAAGATATAAGACTAATCCTCAACATTTCTTAGGAAACAAACACCATACCATGCGGAAGATGACTTAAGTACATACAAATAGAGAGCAGGAATAAGATGCGTTTCATGACCGGATAAGTTTAACCTATACAGCGAGACGATCCTGAGAGAACAAGAAGACTTACAAAACATCTATTCACCGTGTAACAAAATTTTGATTCTTTCTTTGTCTTTGGTCATTAAGGAAAATTTCCTAATTTTGTCTGTCTTGTAATCAAAGGAGATGACCATTATTTTGTTCAATCTTTGCTTTTGGCATCGAAACATCGATGTTTTGAAACTAACCCATTTTCCATACCATTCTAGACCGATTCAGTGCTGACATGCTGACATGCTGACAGGGAATGTTCTAAAAAATTCTATAATTTTCAAGAACTTTCTAAAAGTTTCAAGAATTTCTAGAACCTAATCTCAACAGTTAATTTTATTTCTACCAAGGATCGTATAACGAAAAGATGATGGGAGACTATAGATGGGGATTGATTCGTGAAAGTAATTTACAGTATAAGCGTTAATCGCTGAAAAACTACTCATTTCTAAACTTTTGTCTCTCTTGTGTAATCCTAGAATAAATAAATGCTACTTTTGAATCATGTCTTGTCCTCGTCCTTTGTATGAACGACAGTGTTCACATTCGTCAGTTTTACTAATGGGAATAGGTAAATTTCAGAAATATCATTATCCTGCTGACAAAAGCGACGTTTGACAAAAAAATTAGGTATTTCTCACACTTTATAAAGAAATGCAAATAGGAAATTTGAATTACTACCCAAGGACAAGAAGGTGCTGTAACGGTCATACTCTTAATTAAACAAGTTAAGCAGATTATAGTGCATTGACGGCAGAATTAGAAAAACAACTGCAAAAACTAAAGCAGTGGTTACCAAACGGTGCAGCGCGCCTCACAAGTGCAGCGGAAGAGGATAACAGGTGAGGCGGAAAGATTGAAAGAAAATCAATGATTTAGAAACAGTTTAAAAAACTTCATATGCCAAAAATAAATATGATTTCAAAATTTAAAATATTATGGATTACTTGTAATTGTATGCATGAGTCCCAGTATAAATAATTCTAATAACTATTTATAGTAATAATTAACTATTTATAATCAATAATTATTGACCGCTTTTTTCATTGTCATATTTTAACATTATATCAAGTAATATGGTAACTCGAGTCCGCAAATTGGAGGAGAGAGTTATCAGTGATAAGGTTCTGACGTCGAATCAGCGGTTACCTCTCTTTAACCCGCTCCTTGTTTTTATTTTTAAATGTATCTTTTATCACATAAAATTTGGTGAGGCGTGAGCAAATTTTAATTCTGAAAATGCGGCCCAGAAAAAAAAAACCTTTGGAAACCATTGAAGTGAAGAATATAGCAAATGAAAGTTATAAAGGACCAATCATCGAGGATAAGAAGACATAATTTATAGTCATCATCCAGAAGGCCAGTCAAAAGTACCAACTTCGTCTTGGAAACGACAGAATCAAACAGATACAGAAATTTAGCTGTGAAGATTTTTTCTTTTTTAAGCATTTCACCCCAAGCAAGGCGGGAGTGACGCAAGGGGTTACAGAGAGTAAATGTAAGAGAAGAGATTGTGTATAGGGGGAAAATGATAAAAAAGAACGGGGATCAAGGCATGAGAAGATGTCGACTGAGATTACATTTAAATTTTTGAAGATTATATTAAGGGAAGCAACTAAGAGGAAGGGAGTTCCACTGTCGGGAAGTGCGAGAGATGAAGTTATTGGAAAACAAGAGGTGGATACATTTAACTGTCTCGACAGTAAAAGAGTGGAACCGAGATACCAACCTAGTAGCACGCTTAAATTCATGCAATCGGGGCACCAGTGAAAATATCTCGTCAGAGCAGATGACATGAAAATATTTGTAGAAAAAACAGAAGGAAGCTACATCACTTCTATAAGAAAATCACTGGAGTTGCGATGGCAAGTAAGGAGCGATCACATTGGATTTTGTCGAAAACCTCGAGGTGAACAGCGGGAGAACCAGACCAGAGAGCAGTCAGAGAAGAATATAGCACAAGAATTTGTAGATGCATAGGAATAGCGAAATAAGCCTTCCAGAAACTAAGCAAACTGATAAGGCATAGGAAAATTTCGTTAGGAAATAATGGGAAAAAAAACACCTTTCTGTGCAGTAGTGAATGTTAAAAAATGTGGATGAAGCAAGTCGAAGAGACAGAGATCTGATTTTACGGAGAACACAATGAATTGAACGCTTGAAGATTGAGAAAGCATTAAAGGAAATGGAAAAAGGGACACTTACACGAATTCAGAAACACTCACAAGACATATCCAGGGAAAAAGGGAAAAATATACCAATCAACTAATTTAACTGACGATTTAGTGTGAAGGGCGTTACAGCAAAATGTTATTTAGAGCGACGACGAAGTGGAGGTTGTGGAGAGACGTGAGTGCTTATGTTCGGAATGGATACGACAAAAAATAAAGAAATCAGCGCATATCTATCTTTCTACCTATCTCAC